TGAGGTTAACAGTTTCCATTACCAGCTATTTCCATTAGGATGCCCTGCTTCAGCATGGGCCCAGAAGCAACTAGGCCCGGGAAATATATATTTAAACCTCTGGCCAACATAAAAAAATGTTTTCCTTAAAACTGGATTTCCTTTTAAATGTTTCATACAATTATAGAAGTTTTATTGCTTTAAACTACATTGGCTCTTTAGAGGGAATTGTATTGAATGTGAATATTGCTTTGGATATTGTTAATTTTATAATACTAATTTTATTAATCCATAAACACAGAATGCCTTTCTTTTTATATCCTATTATTTAAAGGTATTTAATTTTTTGATAAAAGTTATTTCTTGTGTCTTTTAATATATATTGTACACCAGACCCATTTTATAATTTTTCTTTCAATTTGTTTTTGATATCTAAAAATGGTACAATTTCACATATGTTTAATTTACTTATGTTTATAATGTTCCCAATCATTTATCAGTTCCAAAAGGTTTTTGGTGTAGACTTTGGATTTTTCAATATGTAAAATCAGGCTATTTTCATACAGGGTTAATTTTGATTTTTTTTCCAGTTTTTGTGTCCTCTTTTTGATTTTTTTCTCTGACCAATTCTTCTGATTAATATTTGTGGTATTATGTTGAATCAGAAAGGTAAAAATCTCATTTTGTTTCTCATATTAGAGGAAATTATTTTTGCACTAGGAGAATAGCTCAGCTGGTAAAGCATTTGCTATGACTGGAGGGAGATCTCCAGCATCAATATAATACCAAAAAAAAAAAAAAAAAAAAAAAAAAAAAAAAAAAAAAAAAACCAGGCCTAGTGGCCCATGCTTGGAATTCCAGCCTAGAAGAGGTAGAAACAGACATACTCCAGGCTTGTTGGTGAGCTGTGGGTCATCCAGAGATTGACACCTGAGTTTAACTTCCAGCTACTGCAGGGATCTGAGCAAGCATTTGTATGCATATAAATACACACACACACACACACACACACACACACACACACACACCACCCAAAAAGTAAGAAACTTAATTTTTTTCCTCTTTAACAAGATGTGAAATGTCAATTTTTTTCCCATGTAGCTTTTATTATGTGGCGTTTTACTCCTTATGATTACAATCTGTTGTGACTTTATCATGAAAGAATGTTGAACTATTTTAAATTATTTCTGTATCTACTGTGATGGTTATATAGTTTTTGCTTTCAATTTGATGATGTGCTGTAGAATATGTATATTGTTTTGGGAATTCTGTACCTTGAAACAGTTTTGCATCCCTGGGGTTAGTCTCACATGAATGTGTGTATGTGTGTGTGTGTGTGTATATGTGTATGTGTGTGTGTGTGTGTGTGTATGTGTATGTGTGTGTGTGTGTGTGTGTGTGTGTGTGTGTGTGTATAATTTATCAATGAATCCCCAACACTTTAAACATTTCTTTGTTGGGAGACTTTTTACTATGGATTAAATCTCATTATTTCTTATTACTGGCAAAGTATTCTATAAAAATTTACAAGTATAGATATTAACATTTTTATGTCATTTAATTTTCAAATATATGGATATATACTTGTATAGTAAGGCATTTAGTGTCAATGCTAATTTCTACTTATTTATTGATTGATATTAAAAGCGGGGTATCATTAATCTAGGCTTTTCTGAAACTCAATTCAATACGTAGCTAGAGAAACTGTGAACTAATTCTACTGCCTCCACTTTCTAAGTGCTGGTGTTACAGAAAGGTGTCACTGCATCAGATTATGAGGTTTTTTTTTCTTCTCTTCCTTTTTTTCTTGATTAACCAAACTAATGGTTTGTTAAATTTTCATTTTCTGAAAATATTAACTCTATTTCATTAGTTTTCTAATTAATGAAATTAAATTATTTTTCTTAATTTGTTTTATATTTTTCTAATTTTTAAGATTAATTCATGTTGGCATGAAAAGATTCTCTCTTGATCTTCTCCCTCTTCCCCGACTTGTGTCTTTTTCCACTTCCATGTTTTATACAGTCAGTTACACTCTCACTGACCACCAGTCACATGCTACATTAGGATCTCATCTTCTCTCCCCATGGGACTTTCCTACCTTCATAGCCAACACACATCAGATTATTGGTCCTATCATTGAAAGAACGATTAATTGTTTTCTGATACTCATTTTTTGCCATCCTTTAGGATCACAGATGAGTGATTATAGGTTGTTTTCATGTGCTTGTTCTTGTAGTTGATTTGATGTTTTGCCTTTTGGGCTTTAAATATTGTATCTTTGATTTGTATTTGTGACATTTTGACTAGGACATATCTTGGAGAGTTTCTTCTTTGGTGATCCATCTTTAAGGATCTTTAAGGAAAAGCTTCTTGGTTTTGATTGTTAATTTCTTTTTCTTGAGTTGAGACTTTTCTGTTGCAGTTTCACTGAATAAATTGTCTAATTTTGAGATTTTTCCCTTCACTCCCCTATTATCCTATGAATTCTTAGGTTTGGTTATTTAAACACATCCCAGAGTTCTTGAGAGGTTTGGTCAGACTTATGTTTTTTTTTTCTTTTTACATGTCTTAATTGCCTCAACGTTCTCCTCTATCTTGATACTTTCTTCCACTGATCTTCCCTGACAGTTTCCACAGTACTTCTCACTGGATTGTTTGATTCATTACCCTAACTTCTTGTTTTTATCATAAATTCATTGCCTTGCTGAATTTTGATCCATGTTCTTGTTTTAAATGTCTGTAAATGTTTTCCCTTTGTGCATGTCTGTCGTTCAGGAGTGTGCCTTGCACCTATGAAGGAAGACATCAGATCCTCAGGAACTAGAATTACAGATGATTGTGAGACATCCTGTGGGTGATAGGAATTGAATCCAGTTCCTCTTGAAGAACAGCCTGTGCTTTTGGCCCTTAGGCCCTGAGCCACCTGACCTGCCCAGCTCCATTTTGTAAAATTTCCCTCTACATTGTTCTTTCCATCCACTTTGCTGACTTT